CCTTCCTTGATCCGGTGGGTATTCTCAGGGTGGGCGGCAGGCTTGCAAAATCCGGATTGACATTCGAGAACAAGCACCCTGCCTTACTGTAAACATAGGCTCACGGATCTCGTTATCGAGCACGTGCACCGCACGAACATGCACCCTGGTCGGCGCACGCTGCAATACCAGCTCACGCAACATTATTGGGTCCTCGGGGTGCATCGCGCTATACAACGCGTACTTTCGAGATGTCATCAATGTTTCCGCGTAAAGCCACACACCTCTCAGCCCCTTATGGCGGAACTACCGGCCGATAGGGTCCGACAGGCCAAGCCATTTTCGATCAGCGGCGTTGATTTCGCGGGACCGTTCAACATAGTTACGCGACGAGCCCGGGGGGTCTCCTCCGTCAAAGTGTACGCGTGCCTTTTCGTATGCTTTTCGGTTAAGGCGGTGCACCTGGAAGCCGCCTTCTCGTTGTCCACCGACTCCTTCCTCGCTGCGCTGCAACGCTTTGTGGCCCGACGCGGACGCTGCTCGCTTCTCTACAGCGACTGCGGAACGAATTTTGTAGGGGCCGCAAGGGAACTAGAAAGCCGCATGAGCCTCGCAGCGGAGCGAGAGAAGATCAAGTGGTCCTTTAATCCTCCCTTCGCGCCCCACTTCGGGGGCCTCTGGGAGGCGGGGGTCAAGACCTTTAAAACCCACCTGCGGCGGACCGTGGGTGATCAAGTCCTCTCAATAGAGGAATTCACGACGGTCCTCGCGCAGGTCGAGGCCGTCTTGAATTCCAGACCCCTCTGCCCGATGAGCACCGACCCTGCCGACCTCGAAGTCCTATCGCCGGGTCACTTCCTCACGATGGAACCGCTCGTCTCCGTTCCCACTCAAGACGTGACCCCGTTACCGATGAATCGGCTGAGTCGGTGGCAATTCGTCCAACGAATACACCAGGACTTCTGGAAGCGCTGGCATCAGGAGTATCTCCATACGCTGCAACAGCGTCCCAAATGGTGGACCTCAGTCAACCCGCTCGGTGTCGGTGCGTTAGTCCTCCTCAAGGACGCCAACATGCCTCCTCTGCGTTGGAGGCGAGGACGAGTGGAGGCGCTGCATCCGGGCAGCGACGGCGTCCCGCGTGTCGCCACGGTGCGGGTGGCGGACGGCACGATCACGCGTCCCCTAGTGAAGCTGCGCCCCCTGCCGGTGGGCCCTGCTCCACAGGCGACCGATTCAAATTGACAGTAAAATACAACTCGTTGTATTTTGGTGGGCGGTATGTTTGGCGCTCACCAAACTGTAGATAGATGCATGTATCATACTTAATTGTTTAGTCTCGTTACTCGTTGTACATAGTATTCTTGCGTACCTAGTCTTAAGTATTTCGGTGACTCGCGCGAAACGTCGGCGGATCGCGATCAACGCGGAATCGATAATTGCGCGACTCACCAATCGGTGCTGCCCTCGCTCACCCCACGAGGGCACCCGCCTGAAGAACAAGTACTCGCTCGCGACATTGTTCCAGCGCCGCGAGCTCTCGGCACTCATCGTTACGACGTCTCGGAGCACAGAGAGATTAACGGAGCACAGAGAGATTATCGGAGCAGGGAGACTTGCGCTAATATCCGGAGTCGCGAGATCATCCGCTCGCTCCCGGATAGTGCGATCGCCTACTTTCTCGGCCTGATTGTGTGCTGCCTTTAACTGCTTCCTACTGCTTGCTTGCTGCCGAGCCGAAGCATCCAGGAGTCGACGGCACAACGAACGGTGAGTCGCATTTGCTTAAGATAACTCGCTTTGGGGGAGACTTACACCCCCTGGTCCTTCGAGCTTCGCTTTATCGCAAATCCGGGTACGGCTCTACCGCCCCCCGAGCATCATCGAAACATTGATGACATCTCGAGAGTACGCGTTGTATAGCGCGATGCACCCCAAGGACCCAATAATGTTGCGTGAGCAGGTATTGCAGCGTGCGCCGACCAGGGTGCATGTTCGTGCGGTGCACGTGCTCGATAACGAGATCCGTGAGCCTATGTTTACAGGGCAGTAAGGCAGGGTGCTTGTTCTCGAATGTCAATCCGGATTTTGCAAGCCTGCCGCCCACCCTGAGAATACCCACCGGATCAAGGAAGGAAGCGAGTTTGCGAAAGGGCTTGGGGAGCCTTCCCCCGCTTTGAAGACAATCGATCTCATCGCGGAAAGCATCCGCCTGTACACTCTTCACAACGAGTAGTAACGCGGAATGCAGTTCGAGCTGATCTATGGCCAAAGTCGTAGGAGCAGATTTTGCACGGAAGTGATGTACAAACCTGAGAATGTATGCTATAATTCGGCCAATTTTCTCGATTGAAGAGAATCTTTCGAGCAATGAATGTACCGCGTCAGGCGGATTGAGCGCCACGAGCGATACGATTTTCTCCTCCTCGATCGGAAGGGTTTCCGAACCGTGGGAAGGCTCAACTCGGGGTTCGAAGCGAACAAGCCACTCTGGGCCCGCCCACCACATCGAACTGGCCACCAGATCGCGAGGATAAAGCCCGCGGGAGCAGTGATCCGCCGGATTGGACTCCGTGTCGACGTGACCCCAAGCTGATACCGGCACGTTGTCCTGAATGAGGGCAACGCGATTTCTAACGAAGGTCTTCCACCGTTGTGGTGCTGAGCGGATCCAGGCCCGGGCGACCTCGGAATCCGTCCAAGCATACTCGTCGTCAATGTCAAGGTGTCCGCGGAGGGTGCGCCGGACGTACGCGATTAATTTAGACAAGAGCAGAGCCGCGCAGAGCTCCAGACGGGGAATGGTGAGGGGGCGAAGCGGGGCGACCTTAGACTTGGCGCATAGTAATCGGACCCCGACGCCGTCGCGCGTAACGATTCGCGGATAAATCACGGCTCCGTACCCCAGCTCGCTGGCATCGCAGAACCCGTGGAGTTCGCAGCGATCTACATGGCACGAGTTAAACGCGCGAGGAACGCGAAGGGAAGATAACACGCCGAGCTCCGTCTGGAAACGACTCCAACTGCGACGAATGTCCATCGGAGGCTCATCATCCCAATCTAATTTGAGGGTCCACAGACGCTGAATTAAGCACTTCGCGGTAAAGGTGAGTGGGGCCAGAAAACCCAGGGGGTCGAATATGCGCGCTACTTCCGACAGTATAGTGCGTTTGGTGCACTCACGATCCAACGCGTTGACTTGAAACCCGAAACTGTCAGATTGTGAGTGCCACCGAAGGCCCAATATCTTCTGAGATTGATCTACGCTTGACTCGAAATCTAACATCGATTGGCTACATAACTACGGGTCGAGGCCCTCCAGCGCGGCAGGATGGCTGCTCGACCACTTTCGAAGCTCGAAGCCGGCGCTTCGGAGAAGCGATAGCAATTGGTCGCGGAGTGCGCGAGCCTGTTCCACCGTCCGAACGCTTGTCACGACGTCATCCACATACAGCGCCTCGAGTAGGGCTGTGAACGCTAGAGGATATTTCTCGCGGTATTGATGAGCTAACTGGAGCAAACAATAGATCGCCAAGAACGGGGAGGCGCTAAAGCCGAATGTAACGGTTTTGAGGAGATAGTCGAGGATGGGGTCCGACTCCGAGAAGCGCCAGATGATACGTTGGTAGTTGCATTGCTCCGGGCTTATCCAAATCTGGCGAAACATCTGCTTCACTTCCGCGGTTAGAGCGATTGCTCCGGCGCGGAACCGAAGCAGGATGGCGAGCAGGTCCTGCTGCAGCTTCGGACCGCTGAGCAGGGTGTCGTTGATCGACAGACCGTCCGGGCCTCGCGAGGACGCGTTGAACACTACCCGCAACTTAGTGGTAGTGCTATCAAGTTTATACACACCGTGGTGCGGTAGATAATAAATGTGGCCATCCGA